TATTCGATTCTGTATACAGTGTGATATAAAGCTTCCACTTATATGGCTATCATGGCCATCGCAAATTAGGAGCCGTTGCTGTAGTCGTCCATTTTGTGTTGCTTTTGCTCTTATAGAGGGCTCAAAAACACGTTTTAGCCACTCTAATCCATGAAGATTGCTTGTCCATCCCTTTGTATTTGCAGAGAAGTGCCATTTTTGTATAACCTCCTTTAGAATCCAGCTTTGTAGGATGTTCTGGCCCTTAAATATAATAAGGGGCTCAATAGCTGTTCTGTCCATGCAGATGCATTCAACAGCAGACACCCATTCCTGTCGGCTAGGATGAGCTTGAAATCGCGTACGGAGCGTAGAGTCGACTATAATTCGCGTAGATTGCATAGTTCCAATTGAAAATCCAGTCTCGTCCATGTTATAGGTATTGTAGTTTTCGATTTTTAGCTCTGTTGTAAGGCTTTTGTACGCGTCAAACCACCCCTTCAACACCTCTTTTGTCACCCCATTCATCCTCTGCGCCTCAACTCTACGTCCTAACTTAACACGTAAGTTAGGATGCCTTTGAATGAATCGTGGAACCCAATCCTGCCTAAGAGGTAACTTAGGAAGTATTTGAGGTTGTAGTTGTTGAGTTTGAGGTTGTTGTTGTAGGTGTTATAGGTGTTGTAGTTGAGGCTGAAAAACGCAACACTTATTTGACCGGACTTCATCTGCAACCTTACGTAATATCTAATAGCTAGGAGCGTAGCCGCTTGTAGTAAGCTCTTTAATCCACTTTAGAAGTGTTTGCTCTTAATTTTTTGTAAGGAGTTGCTGTTGTTGTCGCGCTTCCTTACGCGTCTGCCCTCTGTTTAAGCGTGTCTGTACTATATATGTCCAAAGCCCTAAAGCCTTTGCAGCAGCATAGGAAGATTTGTATAGTCTGGATTTTATTCCAATAACTGCCTCAGCTAATAGATTATCGCGTTCTTAAGCCTTTAAACTGCTCTTGCGTACCATATTTGTAATATAATCAATAGGTTGGTAAGTTTAATGGGGTGGTTCTAACCCCACTATGCCGGTTACGCCATTGTGCCGGTTACGCCACGACTTACGTTACTCTACTATCAAAAATCATATAACTTAGCTGTTCTATAATTAGGTTCTATGTATAAACCTTTACTTACTATAAAGACGCTAGTAGTGCTAGTGCCTTATTAAGATGATAACTTAAGGTTTAAGTTTTCCTATATACATATTATATAGGTATTTTTGAATAGCAGTCCACCTGATTTTCAAACACTTCACAAAGCAAATACAGTACTCTCTTCTACAATAAGTCGTAGTGTTCTTAATACACCTACAAAGCGATATATCAATAAGTTAGCAGACGAGACAGAACGCCTTAATACACGCAACACCCTTCAAAAAAGAGAGTGTGATAACTTACGCTCAATTATCTAGAAGCGTAGAGTATAGAATAAGGGTAAGAGAGCTATTTTAAAGGGTCAATTCCACATCTTAACAGAGGAGTTGCAGTTGTAAGTTATAGAAGCAGAAGTAGCAACAGCTTCACAGAGGTCTGGAACAACGCAACAACCTACCTTAATAGTTAACTTAACTAATAGTGAGAGTAAAGAAGAGAGCGAGGAGAGCGAAGAGGAGCTTTCTAATAATGATATAGATGAATTAGCATAGTAATAATTAAATTGTTACAATTTTTTGATGGTTTTGATAGGGTGGCCCTAACCCTACTACCGACTTTACCCCATTACCAACTTTACACCATGACTTACGTTAAGGCTTTTATATATGTTAAACTACCCCTTTAACACCTCTTTTATTACCCTATTTATCCTCTATGCCTTGACTCTACATCCTAACTTAACACGTAAGTTAGGATGCCTTTAAATGAATTGTAGAACCTAATCTTACCTAAGAGGTAACGTAGGTCATTTAAGGTTAAGGTTGTTAAGTTTGTAGTTGTTAAGTTTGTAGNNACCTAATCTTACCTAAGAGGTAACGTAGGTCATGGTGTAAGCGGCGACATGGTGTAAGCGGCGATTTTAGAAAACACACCAAAATCCACATCACGTGACTGGAATTAAAATCTTAATAACTTCTGTAATAATGTTTATAGAGCTTAATACTCTTAGACTATTACTCTTTGTATAATCATCTAATATATGTAAATTTGCTAGTAGCGCTAGTCGTATTTTATAGTATATATTAAGGTTTTAGCTTTTCCTATATATAATATTTGTATGGCAAAACTTTAAGTGTAAATAACTCTTTAATAAGACTAGCTTACATTATAGCAAATTAAATCCTAATGTACACATATATAGAGACTAATAATATAAGAGCACTAAGCTTTACAAGCATTATTATAGAAGTTATTAAGGTTTTAATTTTAGTCACGTGATGTGGATTTTGGTGTGTTTTCTGAAATCGCCGCCCATGTCGCCGCTTACACCATGTCGCCGCTTACACCATGACCTACGTTAAGTTAGGAATGTGTTCTTGTTAAATTTGTAGTTGTTAAGTTTGTTGTTGTTGTTGTTGTTATAGCTGTTAAGGCTGAAAAACGCAACACTTATTTAACTAGACTTTATCTACAACCTCACGTAATATCTAATGGCTAGGAGCGTAGCTACTATTTGTAAGCTCTTTTATCTACTTTAAAAGTGTCTTTTCTTGATTTTTTAACAGGAGCTGTTGTTGTTGTTGTGCTTCTATACGTGTAGGTGTTCCATTTAGCTAGCGTTAGATGGATTGTATAGGAAGCCCTAGGGCCTTCCCTGCTGCATAAGCAGACTTGTATTGATTTGATTTAATAGCTAATATAGCTTTTTGTATCGCAATATCTTGCTCTAGTGCTTGTTTGCTTCTCTGTCGGACCATTTTATTGAATTGATTTTTTTCCAAAGCTATTAATAGGGTGGTCCCAACCCCACTAGCGACAGTACGCCATTAGCGACAGTACGCCATGACTTACGTTAATAGAAATAGATAAGTTTTTTCCTTCTAAGACTTAAGCCCCCATACAGGTAATAGGTGGTAATTCTATAATTTTCGAAATGTGGGGTGGTATTTAATTTATAATAATTTAGGTGGTAATTCTATAATTAGCCGTTTAAAGTAGTAAAAATATATAGTATACTATGCGACGGCAAGAAGGGCGCGGTTTTCCGCGTGCTTGCTCGCCCAGGTTCAGCGCCTCTACTTCGGGTTTTGCGGTGTCCTCTTCTAGTTTGGCGTGTTCGGTTTAAGCATAATTGCCTGCCTATCTACACCACGCTGCTTTTCCTCAACCTTAGAAGTATGAGTAGTCGCTGTCCCTCGCTCCTCTATCCGCACTCTCCCTTGCGGTCAGCCTCCGAGCCCCTCAAGACGATTCTGTAACGCACGGATCAGATACAATTTTAGAAAGACACAACATGACATTCGTAAGAAATACCATCATCCCATTCGCCTCAAAACTTCATAAAACAAACCGTAATAAAATCGAGGACCATGTCAGCAAACAAGGTCATACCACCTCTTCCACCTAGGCCACTCCTCTTTCTCCTCCCTTTCCGCCTTCAATATCCTCCCTAGATTAAACTCCCGTATCCCCGTCTGGAGATCTATATCCCTCAGCCTCCATACCTTGGTCTTATACCGCCACTTATAGCCCCCATACATGACCAGCACGATCGGGACCGCTAGATACGCTAAGAAAAAGCTCTCCACCTGCCCTTTCACGCCGATCTCGCCGTAATTGATGGGCCACGCGCCCGTCCAGAACTGCGCCGCCAGGACAAGCACACTGAAGATGACGCCCACCCAGCTCCCCGCTACGCCCGGCTGCGATACGAACGCTAGCTCGTCGAGGTTGTGGCCCTGCAGCGCCCAGGCGCGCCGGAACCGTATGTGCGACAGGCAGATGGAGCCCCAGGTGAAGATGCTCGAGAGACCGGAGAGGGCGAGCATCCAGCTAAGCACCGTGCCATGCTGCCCGCTTTCAGTGGCGTAGGCAACAAGGCCCAGGGCGATGGCGATAGCGATGGCGACGATGGGACGACCTTTGCGGTCAACGTAGCCTAGGATCTTAGGTGCATGACCCTGGTCAGCTAGCGCTGCTAGGGTGCGGGTACTGCCGAAAACGGCGCTGTTGCCAACGGATAATATGGCGATTAAAATCACGGCGTTCATTATAGAGGGTAGGACGGTAATACCGGCGTCTTCAATGGCGATAACGAAGGGCGAGGCGGTGGCGGTGGGGTTGGTGTTGGCGTTAGCATTGGCGTTGCCTTCGTCGAGGTCGAGGAGTCGCTTGTCATCATATGCTACTAGGAGACCCACCAGTGTTAAGCTCACGATGTAAAATAAGGTGATACGCCAGAAAACCTGTTTGATGGCATTCGGTAGGCTCTTTCTCGGATTTGCCGTCTCCGCCGCTGCGAGGCCTATTAATTCCGTGCCTGAAAAAGCGAATGCAGCGGTCACGAAGACGGAGCAGAGGCCCTTAAAGCCGTTGTTGAAGGGACCCGGCTCAACCCAGAATTTTCCGCCGATGTAGCCGCCGTTAGGGTTGCCGGCGCAGTTGATGATGATGCCAAGGATGATGAAGCCGATCACTGCAATGACTTTGACAAGGGAGAAAACGAACTCGGCTTCGCCATAGCCTTTAACGCCGAAGAGGTTTATAGCGATAATGAGAACGAGGAAAATGGTGACGAAGATGGAACGGTGGAGCGTTTTATTCCAGAAATTGATAGTTATGCTGGCGGCGACGATTTCGATTGGGAGAATAATAAGCCATTGCATTGCATAGCTTGTGTTGTGAGTATCCTTTACCCTGAAAATTCATGGATACGGGACTTACGTCCAACCCATAGCGAACCCCCATGCTGGATCAAGAAATCTCGTCGAATACGCAGAGAAAGAGCCAGCTACCGGATATAAGACAGCCATCTCACCTAGAGCATGCACCGTACAAAATAGCATAACCCCGATAAGTGAGAACGCGATCAGTAATGATGCTGGCCCACCCTCATGCAGCATCCTTCCACTCGCAACAAACAATCCTGTTCCTATTCCTAGTTAGCAGCTTCCATTTCTCGCTGTACTCCCATCATAGCATCCTAACTCACCAATACTCCCTCCAATTGCAATCATCTGCAGATGCCTCCCCTTCAATTTTCTTGCTAGCGCTGTGTTCGCGGTCGCTAATACCGCCTTATGCGGATTGAAGGCACCATTGTGGTTGTATTGGTTAGTGGAATTAATAGCCGGATTAATGCTACGTCGATTCGGGTCACTCTTGAAGCTATCCACGAACCGCTTATAGAAACCCGGACGCCGCTCCTTATAATCACTATACCAGGACTTGCCGCTAGGGAAGTGCGTTGAGCTGCCGTAGTAACCCGGCGAGTTGGAGGTGAGAGGGGAGGGGTTGGAGACGTCTTCGGAGTAGTAGTCATGGTGCGAGTGGAACGAGTGTGATTCAGGCATCGTGAGGTTAGCTCAGTGGGGGCTAGGATTTGGTGGAAATGCCTTAAGGGTCTCACGAGGGAGTTTGTAGTTTAACCATGTATTGGGTGTATTTTAGTTAGCGGTGTCGCCTAATATATAAATATATTTGTCGAGATGTTGAATGGAGTTTGAGAGGAGACTTAGTACACGCAAAGGTAGATATGGTAAAAGGGCTAATTCTTCAAAGTCGCATAGTAGCTCAACCAAAAGGTCAATTCCTCTGGCGCTTGGTTCGCCCTAGCAGAAATTGGTCGTTCTGTCTGTTGTTCTATATGTATAAGCTTAAGACATCTGCCCTACACCACCTCCTACTCGTTAAGAAGAGTGTGAACAGCGAATTGTTTCTTGCTAAAGGAGATGTAAGAGTCGTAAAAGTCGTATTATAAGTGCTGTCGTGTTAAAGGCTGCAGCTCTTTGCAATCCGAGTCGTCAATGCCAGAACAAGAGAGAGAAGAGAGAGTAAGAGTGTTAGAGAGGGTGGCGACAGATATACTACTGTAAAGCAGGTGAAACTAAAAGTAGGAATATGTGTAGCGTAAATAATAACCTAGGTTACGTATTGCGCGTTTTGAGCGCGGTAGCTAGCACCAGCACCTTGTAGCACCCCCATTGTTGCTTCGCTGCTTTAGAACCATGGATAGATCTCTAGTGACGTACAGAAACGGCAAAGCACGCACGGCTACGATATAATTTCGCTTATGTCATCGTCATATAGCAAGGGAGTGGCTGACCAGGACTGTGGCTGACACGAGGCTAAACTGCGCGACGCGTAGTCCAACCAACCTGTGCACTCGCAGCTATCGGCACCTACACCTTCAAGCAAGACATGTCATATGAATACTACAGCTTGACGCTAGATGAGCATAAGTGTAGCAGCTGCTGCTGCTATGCGCACCGTTCTCGTTATCTTCAGCCACACCGTCAGCTCACACCACGAGGACACACAATATAATCAAGAGAGAAGTTAAGGGAGGTGTAAATTGACCAAACAGAAATGCAGGCGATGAGTGACTACGAGCGAAAACTTGTATGTGGGGTGAAGAATCGAGTGAAGTAGACGAGATGAACAAGGGACATGGCGGCATGCAGACGAAAGAGCGCGAAAGACAGAGACATGTTGGCCTTGACATACATTTAGGTTAGCGATTCATCAAGGACATGGCCACTTCTGGCTTTCGTTGCCCCCACTCTTGCCCAAGAGGTAAGTTAGGTATTTGAGGTTGAGGTTGTTGAGGTTGTTGTGTTTGTTGTTGCTGTTGTTGTGGTTGAGGCTGAAAAACGCGACACTTATTTAATCGGACTTCCTCTACAACCTCATGTAATATCTGATGACTAGGAGCATAGCCACTTATAGTAAGCTCCTTAATCCACTTTAGGAGCGTTTGCTCTTAAGTTTTAGATAATAACTGCTGTTTTTGACGCGCTTTAATACGCGTTTTACCACCTTTTATACGTCGCTGTAGAGTCCTTTCATATAGCCCTAAAGCCTTTGCAGCAGCATATGAAGATTTAAATTTTCTAGACTTTATTCCTAAAATAGCTTCACAAAGTCGAAAATCAAGTTCTTAAGCCTTAATACTCCTACGTTCAACCATTCTGTTAGTTGTAGTAGTAGGAGTTGTAGTTCTGATGTAGTTTAATAGGGTGGCCCTAACCCCACTACCAACTTTACCCCATTACTGACTTTACACCATGACTTACGTTATAACAGATCTAAAAATTAAAAACTATAACACTTATAATATAGATAAGACTAGATTTTTAATTAGAACTATACAATCTATACAAATTATAGTTAACGTAAGTCATGGCGTAACCGGCACAATGGCGTAACCGGCATAGTGGGGTTGGAACTACCCCATTAAACTCACCAACCTATTAATTATATTATAAATATGGTACGCAAGAGCAGTTTAAAGGCTCAAGAACGCAATAATCTATTAGCTGAGGCAGTCATTGGAATAAAATCCGGATTATATAAATCTTCCTATGCTGCTTCAAAGGCTTTAGGGCTTCGGACATATACAGTACAGACACGCTTAAATGGAGGGCAGACGCGTAAGGAAGCGCGACAACAACAGCAACTCCTTACAAAAAATCAAGAGCAAACACTTCTAAAGTGGATTAAAGAGCTTACTGCAAGCGGCTACGCTCCTAGCCATCGGATATTACGGGAGGTTGCAGATGAAGTCCGGTCAAATAAGTGTCGCGTTTTTCAGCCTCAACAACAACAACAACAACAACAACAACCTCAAACTCAACAACCTCAAACTCAACAACCTCAAATACCTAAGTTACCTCTTAGGCAAGAGTGGGTGCCACGATTCATTTAAAGGCATCCTAACTTACGTGTTAAGTTAGGACGTAGAGTTGAGGCACAAAGGATAAATGGGGTAACAAAGCAGGTGTTGAAGGGGTGGTTTAACGCGTACAAAAGCCTTATAACAGAGCTAAAAATCGAAAACTACAACACCTACAATATGGATGAAACTAGATTTTCAATTGGAACTATGCAATCTACACGAATTATAGTCGACTCTACGCTCCGTACGCGATTTCAAGCTCATCCTAGCCGATAGGAATGGGTGTCTGCTGTTGAATG